TTATTAAAAAAATTTAATTTTATAAAAATTAAAAAAAAAAAAAAAAAAAAAAAAAAACGGCATCAACATTTGGTTCCATTTCTTGTCAGAGGAGTGGCAGCCATATGGGAAAAAATAACTGTTGCTCATGCAAATAAACAATTATACAGTTAATAATTGTTTTTTCTTCCTAACTAACCATTTACAATAGCTGCTCACTAAAAACATTAAAATTAAAAGGGACATATAAATAATATTTGATTATGAAATATATACAGAAGCAGATAACAGATTTTCATTAATTAAAGTGAAAATAACAAATAATTGTCTGGTCCTTATTTCATGGTTAATTATGGAAAAATATATTTTTACCTTTTTTAAAATAATGTATAGTATGAATTAATTACTGCTTCAAATACATTTTTTTAAAAGTTTTTATTTTGAAAAATAATACATATTTATAATAGTGCTGTCAAACGATTAATCGCATCCAAAATAAAAGTTTTTGTTTACATAATATATGTGTGCATACTGTGTATATTTATTATGTATATATAAATACAAACACATGCATGTATATATTTAAGAAAAATATGTTATGTTTATATATTAAATATATTTATGTATAATATAAAATATAAGAATTATATAAATATAAATGTATATACATGTAAATATTTTCAAAATATATACTGTATGTGTGTGTGTTTATATATACATAATAAATATACACAGTACACATACATATATAATGTAAAAAGAAACTTTTATTTTGAATGCGATTAATCGCGATTAATTGTTTGACAGCACTAATTTATAATATATCAGCATGTTTTTATATTCCAAGATTTTATAATGTAATGCTCTTTTAGTAGTTTTTGGAAACAATTTACAATAAGGTTCCATTTGTTAACATTAGTTAACTACATTAGTTAACATAAACTAACGATGAAAAATACTTCTAAGGCATTTACTGTATGTTGATTCCAACATTTACTAATACATTATTTAAAATCAAAAGTTGTTTCTATTAATGTCATTTAATGGACCTGAGCTAACATGGAGTGACAATGAACAGTTGTATTTCCATTAACTATTGTTAACAAAAATTAATAAATACTGTCACAAATGTATTGCTCATTGTGAATGTTAGTTAATGCATTCAATATAGTTAACAAATAGAACCTTATTGCAAAATATTACCAAAAATGAAAAAAAAAGATAATGTATGCTTTAATGACTGATCATTTTCAACCCATTTTAACATTTAATTCTTAATATGGCACCTTTAAACACTTTTTTTCTGCCATTATTGAGAGCCTTTATATCAGATACATTACATCAGATAAACTTTGCTGTTTGTGTTTATCGTATATACATCGGTCACATTTTACATTGAAATGAACAAATCTGAAACTTGCTTGTAGGAAGGCATGAATCATGTACACTCTTAAAATTAAAGGTGCTTAAAGGGTTCTTCACAGCGATGCCATAGAAGAATCATTTTTGGTTCCACAAAGAACCATTCAGTCAAAGGTTCTTTAAAGAACCATCTCTTTCTTACCTTTTTATAATCTGAAGAACCTTCTTTTGCCACAAAGAACCTTTTGTGAAACAGAAAGGTTCTTCAGATGTTAAAGGTTCTTTATGGAACCATTTAGACAAAAAGGTTCTTCTATGGCATCGTGAAGCACCTTTATTTTTAAGAGTGTATCTACAGTGGATCCTATCATTGCTATTTTGATAAACTATTCTAACTAATACATCAATGTGTGAATGTCGTTAAAAGAAACCCATACAGTTCAAATTTTCCCACATCAGCAGTATCTTGGAGCTCAGGAATGTGGTAATGTGCAACAATCATAGTCTCATAGTCTTTCATAATTTCCCAATGGCCTTGAATATGTGTACAGACTCACTGAATGAATAGTTCACCTTTGTGTTAGCTTAATTTGTTTGCCTGTTGCTTAGAAAGGTTTTGTGGCTTGTGGCAACATAATTCTGTGTACTGTGTATTTCTCCATTTGAAAGAGATATTAGTGATCAGCTCTTTCAGCAATTGACAGAAATTAGGGAAATTTTGTGTGCCCAGTAATCAAAAGGTGATAATGTGATCTTAAGCCAGAAGACTAAGACTAAGAGCCAGATTTACTAACAGCTTGCTCCAGCACAAACCGTCTTTTGTCGTTAAAATAGTACTGTCAGGATTTACTAAAGACGGGCAGTGAAGAATCAGCACCGAAAAGGTGTGGAAACAATTATTTTTGCGCCTGACCTTACTGAATATGCATTTGTAGGAGTTTCCCTTTCAGATGCTAAATTTATGGGAGGAGAGTATTAAAATGAATCACGCAATGCAATTTACTAACGTTTGCGCTCGTCAAAATACTGATATTTGCGCCATTATTTAACACCCAAAAAAAGCATGTCTTAAAGCAGGCGTTAATTTGCGCTGCTCTTGGTAGATTGCACTGGTCATTATGGCTTTTGTGCTCTACCGCTAATTTGCCCTGTTTAGTAAATCTGGCCCTAAAGCATTTTTTTTTTATTTGCTGCATTGATTTCAAAGGGAATGCCATAAGAGAAAAAAATGCAAGAATGCTCTGTAATGCAACGAAAAGTTGCAAAGCTCCCAACTGGAGAATGAGAGCAGCAGTGATGTAGCCAATTGAAAAAAATCACCCAATCAGATAACTCATAGTAGCCTACACCATCACTCTGATTTTATTATGTTCTTGGGACCAAAATGTGTCATTTCACTTTTAATGTCCAACTGATCACCTAAAGGTCAATCAATCTTGATCTTTAGCACTAGAGGCGTTGACGCAACGGTGCTCAGGTATGAGAGGCATCGTAACTTTCAGTCGTTGCTGCATTGTGTAGCGGTGCATTGAACAGGTCCTGGAGTGTACGGTGAATATGGGGAATTATGAGGGTCTATTCTAAGCACTCGCGCCTGACACCAGAGCCGCCAATAATAAAGGAATAAAAGCAGCAGTGGAGAGGAAAAATAAGTTTCCATAAGAGTGCGTCGCAGAAGGATCTGGAAGGAGACGGATCTTAGCAAAGTGTAGACTGGTGTTAATGCTTTGTCATTGACACCTGCTTCTCAGCTGATTCCACTTCTGGAGTGTTATGGGGTGTGCGTGTTGTGTGTGTGTTTGTATGCTTTTCTTTCTGTGTAACACCCTGTTGTGATAATATTATCCATACTGAGCCATGCACCCTGTTGTATGTGCATTTAATACATACATCTCTGTACACATGCACAAAGTAGACTCTCTGTTGCTTGGTGAGCTTCAGTGTGTGCCTATGAAGTGCTAGGGTGAGTCTGGATGGCGTGGGAAGCGACGCTTGGGAGGTGGTCGTGCTGCACTCTGCTGTGAAAAAGCTGAGTTTTTCATGGCCAGACGGTCATGTGACGCAAAGACAACATAACTGAGTTGTGTTCCTGCTATGCTGCATTTCACCTTCCCAGATTTCATACCAAGTGCTATAGCACCGTCCATTAACAACATCAGTTTAATGGGTGTTTTTGAGGTGAACTATGAGGTCTAACCGTTTCTTACAATTGAATGTGTACCATAGTATTATTTGTTGAACATGAACATTATGTAAATCATTTGAAATTACTAA